TCTGCGAAGTAATTATGCCCATATTTCAGGGTCCCACTGCTATACAGTAGAGTACAGTAAATTGAAGACGCTGTTTTAAAATATTTACCCAGGAGGGAGCTGGCAACACTGGCTGTGATCAGGGCGGAGGCACACATCAGGGCGGCATCAGGGAAATTGAAAGTGCCTTGTGGACCCCACCCGAGCCCAATGGCTGCCAATGATGCCAAGAAAGCAACAACCAGGCCTTGGCACTATAACCACATATGACATACACAAAAAAATACAACCAAAAACTCACCCAATTTGCACAGAAAAAGACACATGATAAATTAATGTTTTTGTGTTGAAAATTTTTGTTTTTAATAAAAACTATATTCTTTTAAAAATACAAAAAAAATTTTTGTTTTTAATGAAAAATATATTCTTTTAAAAATACAAAAATTTCTACTTTTAATTAAATCTTAAAAAAAATATCATGTAGTGAAATTAAAAAGGAGCAGAGACACAATAATAAGACAATAAGACACTAGATATTACACACCTGGATGAGAGCAAGGTTGCACATGGCCATGCTCCATTTCTCTGCTTTGCCGTCCATGTTGCCCAGGTTGGCATGAGTGGATAGTCTGGAAGCTAGCGTCATCTCGAGGTTGCCCTTGAGTCCCAGAAGCGAAGGGACCATGATCACAATTTCTGGGATTTTTTGAAACACAGTCCAGTGCTGTGAGAAAGAAAGAAAAAAAGAATCACGCGACGGAGATTAAAAAATGACAGCCTTTGGAATATGTCAAAATTCTTCTCTTCGTTATAAATGAGACTAATCTCGGAAATGAGGAACAACATTCATTACCCATACGACCAAAACTATGCAAAAACTGATTTTCAAAATCGCACTGTCGCTGGATATTATTGCAAACATGTTTTTAGAAAAAAAAATTGGAGGCCTTGAAGAAATTCATACATTCTTGCATAGGACAAACAATGTTGTACTCGGACTTGACGATTCAGAGCACCGTTTGAGAACAAATTGAGTATATGTTCCATTAGTAAAAGACCCAATTTTTTTTAAACAAGTTTGAAATGCATGAAGCATTGTGATAAGCTCAGCAGCTGCTCATTAAACCAAGCTTCATAATTAACTTTTTTGAAATTGCAGAAGAGTGTAAAAATTCAGAAAAATCTCTCATATTAAGAAACCTACTCCTGCGTATATTCAGTCTATGGTTTGTCTGTTGTATAATCTATTTATGTCCACCTGAGAGAGATGTTTATTTAGTCTCCCCTGTGTTTTGTTACGGTACATCTTTGTTAAGGAGACAACTATTGGGCATATTGTACTCATCTCTTCCCTATTATGTTACCAAAATAAATTCGTTGTTCCAAAAAAATCCTTTCAGACAAAATTTGTTGTAGATTGGATTGAGTGAGTCTACCTGTTACCACAAGTTGCTCAGAGGCGTGTGAGCATATAGTGACATCTACAGTTGAGAAATGAGTCTGAATTCCTCTTGAAGCCAGAGAAAAGAAACTGGAGTTGATGGCATCAGGCAGAAAAATCTGATCCGTACATAATGCATCAAGAATATATAGTGACCAAATTCATGAAGAAAAATTTTGGGTACATGCACTTCTTGTTTATGAAGGGAATTAAGGACCTTCAAAAATAACACGCTTTCTGCAATCAATCCATAATTTTATTAAAGCTTTTTATGAACAAGATCAGACATGCAAGAACAGCATTATTCTTCTGTACGAAATTACAAAATGCGAATTTCAAAAAGTCTACGTTGAAGCTTTTGACTCGTCCGAATTTGCAATGCCATGAAAGATCATGAATGTCACTTGGGTACAATACGTAATCACGCATTAAAAAACCTCTAAATGCGCAGTTTCCAATTAATTCACACCAAGTTCATCAAGCAAAACAGAAGCAGTGTGAATACCCTTTGGTTTTTTCTTGAGTTGGATCTTCTCGAAAGAGTGCCAAAAAGTAAAAGTAAACAGCCGCGAAATTTTACAGTTGAGCAGGCATCAAAAGCGAATGATAAAAACAGCATCTTCAAATTTCAAATCTACCCTTGCTGACTTGAAGACCATATAAACTCTCTGAGATACGAAGCTTCATCGATCCTTGCTTTTTTTTATAATCTATAATTTGTGGTTACAACTTCAACATACTGTATAATGTAACACGTAACAGACCATTACGCTGGTTTTGATTTCTCTTTCTTTGCTTTTGATTTGTCGATCAGAAAGCTTTATAAGTCTAGAAAAATCTGTTTTTGACCTCAAGTGCTTTTGGAGGTCATCTCACAGGGCAATTTTCATGACATACAATAATATTGTTTCACTTCCGGGTGTAATGGATACGAGTTACGCGAAAACTGCCGAGTTTCTTTTGAAAGTGCTCAATTTTTTTAAGAAATGAAAAATATAGCTAGAGACGTTTTGATAAGAAATAGATGGCTTGACCAATGCTGATTTCGATTTTTAAGACTCTCTCAAGTTATTCAAGAAGACAAATCCAGCAAACGTAACCAGTTTGTTGCACAAGTGCCAAAAAAACCACTCAACTTCATTCTTGAGTAAATCTTCATGAAAATACCATTGTTCGCCAAGTCACAGCATACCAGTAATTTCGAAGGATCAAGATTATTTCCTCTTTTTGTCAAGGTTTGTTTTTGCTGGGAGAATAAGAGTCCAGTTTATGAATCCCCCAACCATCCTCATCGCACTATTTTATTTTCCAGGGTTATTAGGTTGCTTTGATTGGGAAGGTTTTTTTTCTTCAAAAACAGAAGGTTGATTTTAATTCCCTTACTTTTAGTGGTCATAAATTTTGGTTCATGCGATATTTACATTCTTTTGCACCCCGACCCGACTTTTAGAGAAGAGCATTTTATATATGTCCTTTTATACGCAAAAAAAAAAAAATGTTTACAGCAAATTTAGAACTACAAAAATTCGGAGTTCTCCTAGATTCAGCATTGCATTTTCTGCTGATGTGAAATGTTGTCTCCGATTGCTGGTTGGATATAACGAAAATTTCGCCCTATTATTTATATGGACTCGCTAACCTCGAATAATTTTTGGTTCACTATGGTTTTCTTTCAGTGTTGCATCTCTAAATAATTTTTGTGAAATTCAGTCATGTACTGTGTAATAAATTGCTTGAAAAAACTATATAGGAACATGCATGCTAGGTAACCCCTTTGAAATTATGTTCCTTCTGCTGGCTGCAATTAAACCTGTCTGCTGCTGATGCCCGGGTTTTAATTTTTTTTATCCCACTGGGCCTTTGTCTCCTTTTTTTTTCTGGTTTGCTGGGTTTTGCTTTTACTCAACAACTTGCCCAGGGAATATGGCACTCAGTGACAAAAAAAAGTCACAGTAAAAAAATTCTGGAAATACTCGATTCATCATGGAACAATAAGTCATTGTGAATGAATGAATGAATGAACGGACAGAAAACTTTATTTGACGCTTTTCAGCGTTCACAAGGCATAATCAGAACTGTTTTCATTGTGAAGAAAAGAAAAACAAAAGAAATGCGTACCTGAATGAAGTCAAAGTAGAGCCCGGCGCCCACCATGCCCATGCCGGCGACCAGGAACGGCAGGCTGACCTGCCACATGATGGTGAGCGCCGTTTCCCGGCGCTCCCCGGTCTCCTCCTCCGGCGCCACCGCCGCCGTCGGCATCTTCTTCACCGAGTCTCCGCCGTTCAAGCAATTCATCTGAGACTCTTTCCTGGTGTCTCCCCTGGCTGTTTTAGTCCCACAGTGTTTCGTATCAAAGCCGCTACACTGCCTGATGATGCACAAATTCAACAACAACAAAAAAGAATTGCATCAATTCATTTAACAAAATTTCATAAATTTAGTCATCATGTCTGTGTGTGTTGTGTGGACAAGCTACCTGAATCTCGTCAAAAGCAAAGAAGAATCAGAAGGTGTCATGATAAAATGCCAGCATGGACATGTAACCCAAGCAGCAAAATAAAAGAAAAAAGCCGGAGATGAAACTCCCATTTCTGATGCAATTATACATTTCACACGCAAAAATAAAACCTAGTAGCAGATTTCAAGGGACAAAAACTGCATTAAAATTAAAGGAGAGTACAGAAAAAATAATAATCACAAATTATTTCATGAACTTATACTGTTGAATACATTTTGAAGGCAGACAAGCAAAAATAAATGGAGGAATTGCTTTAAATTAATCAATCCATTCAAGACAGCAGCGTGAAAAACAATTTTTAAAACCAAAAGAAAAATTTAGAAACATCTCCAGACACTGTCTCTCACCGACATTTCGTCTACAGTGACATTATCTTCCTGCCGGCATTTTATCCTGGCCCAACTCATCAGGCATATCATCCATAAAAATTAATTTCTTGTCAAAAAATTGAAAGGTTGTTTCAATGGCCAGTCATTTACTCTGGTAGCATACGTTATGAAAAATAATATAAAATTCCAAGGTTTTCCGTTTTTAGTTCGCAATTTTAACGATACCCGGTTTTTTTCATCAACGAAATAATTTTTCGAATTTCAGTGAAGCTTCGTTTGTAAGAAATTCGAAACGTCTGATTACATTTTGATAGCAGCAAGTAAAAAAATACAAGATCTTTAATTGATGAAAACTCGAAAGAAATTCTAAGCCTTTTATTAGTACAGTTTTAATTATGAACACGCGTGAAAAGATCAACAAGTTCCGTGTCGTCGCGTTTCTAATGGGGGTTTTTCAAAGTTCCCAGGAAACAGGCCCTCTAAACATTGATGGAACTCATTGTCAAAGAAATTCCGTCTTTTTCGAGAAGAAAAATAGATCGAAACTTGTTCGAATTCTCGTGTTTATATATGGACCATCAGAATTAAATCTTTCCACCAGATCACTCGGTTTTTCACCACCTAATTGGGGCTTGGTCTTTCAAAAAAAATGGGCCATTGATCCGGAAGAAATGGATTCCGGGATCCACTTGAGTCAATACCAAACAGACAACATATTAGATAAATACAGGTGGACTCTCTCTACAAATAAATCAGAGGGGACACAAAACAATGCCATGTAGAAACAATTCCTCTGTTGATAACCCGTATAACATGAGTAGAGAATCATATTATGGTACCAGAATAAATCCGTTGTATACCGGAAAAATCGTTTCAGACAAAAATTGTTGTAGATTGACTTGAGTCTACCTTATAAGTTGCTCAGAGCCGTGAGCATATACAGTAGTGACATCTACAGTTGAGAAATGAGTCGGAGTTCCTCTTGAAGCCAGGGAAAATAAACTGGAGTCGATGGCATTAAGCAGAAAAAGATTTCATTGCATCATGCATCAAGATTATATAGTGACCAAATTCATATGAAGACAAATTTCAAAATGTCTACGTTGAAGCTTTTGATTCCTCCGAATTTAAAATGTCATGAAAGATCATCAATGTCACTTCGGTAATACCTAGAAATACGCATTAAAAAACTCAAATGTGCAGTTTCCAATCAATTCACATCAAGTTCATCAAGAAAAGCCGAAGCAGTATGAATACCCTTTAATTTTTACTTGAATTGGATCTTCTCGAATCGGATTTTCTCGAAAGAGGGCCAAAAAGTAAAAGTAAACAGCCGCGAAATTTTACAGTTGAGCAGGCATCAAAAGCGAATGATGAAAACAGCATCTTCAAATTTCAAATCTACCCTTGCTGACTTATTGAAGAAGACCATAAAAACTCTCTGAGATACGAAGCTTCATCGATCCTTGCTTTTTTTTTTATAATCTATAATTTGTGGTTACAACTTCAACATATAATGTAACACGTAACAGACCATTAAGCTGTTCTTGATTTCTCTTTCTTTGCTTTTGATTTGTTGATCAGAAAGCTTTATAACTCTAGAAAAATCTGTTTTTGACCTCAAGTGCTTTTGGAGGTCATCTCACAGGGCAATTTTCATGACATACAATAATATTGTTTCACTTCCGGGTGTAATGGATACGAGTTACGCGAAAACTGCCGAGTTTCTTTTGAAAGTGCTCAATTTGTTTAAGAAATGAAAAATATAGCTAGAGACGTTTTGATAAGAAATATATGGCTTGACCAATGCTGATTTCGATTTTTAAGACTTTTTCAAGTTATTCAAGAAGACAAATCCAGCAAACCTAACCAGTTTGTTGCACAAAAGTGCCAAAAAAAACCACTCAACTTCCTTCTTCAGGAAATCTTCATGAAAATACCATTGTTCGCCAAGTCACAGCATACCAGTAATTTCGAAGGATCAAGATTATTTCCTCTTTTTGTCAAGGTTTGTTTTTGCTGGGAGAATAAAAGTTTAGTTTATGAATCCCCCAACCATCCTCATCGCACTATTTTATTTTCCAGGGTTTATTAGGTTGCTTTGATTGGGAAGAATTTTTTTCTTCAAAAACAGAAGGTTGGTTTTAATCGGGAATGAAAATCACCAGTATTTAAAACCAAGTACGCTATAAATGTAAGAAAACGTGGGGCTGGGCTGAAAATCTCTTCTCGTAAAATATATACAGGAAAATATGCGTTTTTTTTTTTTTTTACAAATGAGCAAATTTAGAACTACAAAAATTCGGAGTTCTCCTAGATTCAGCATTGCATTTTCTGCTGATGTGAAATGTTGTCTCCGATTGCTGGTTGGATATAACGAAAATTTCGCCCTATTATTTATATGGACTCGCTAACCTCGAATAATTTTTGGTTCACCATGGTTTTCTTTTAGTGTTGCATCGATGAATAATTTCTGTGACATTCAGTCGTGTACTCGTGAGTCGTGTGCAATAAATTGCTTGAAAAAACTATATAGGAACATGCATGCTATAGGTAACCCCCAGAAAACATGTTACTTCTGCTGGCTGCAATTAAACTGTCTGCTGATGCCCATGTTTAAATTTTTTTTTTATCCCACTGGGCCTTTGTCTCCTGTTTGTTTCGTTTTTTCTGGTGTGCAAGGGTTTTTCTTTTACTCAACAACTTGCACAATGACACTCAGTGACACACAAAAAATCAGAGTAAAAAAAATTCCGGAAATACTCGATCCATCATGAAACAATAAGTCATTGTAAAGAAAAGAAAAACAAAAGAAATGCGTACCTGAATGAAGTCAAAGTAGAGCCCGGCGCCCACCATGCCCATGCCGGCGACCAGGAACGGCAGGCTGACCTGCCACATGATGGTGAGCGCCGTTTCCCGGCGCTCCCCGGTCTCCTCCTCCGGCGCCACCGCCGCCGTCGGCATCTTCTTCACCGAGTCTCCGCCGTTCAAGCAATTCATCTGAGACTCTTTCCTGGTGTCTCCCCTGGCTGTTTTAGTCCCACAGTGTTTCGTATCAAAGCCGCTACACTGCCTGACGATGCACAAATTCAACACACCAAAAAAAAAAAAAAAAGAATTGCATCAATTCATTCTACACAATTTCATGAAATTTAGTCATGTTTTTTGTCTGTGTTTTGTGTGGAAAAGTTACCTGAATCTCGTCAAAAGCAAAGAGGAATCATCAGAAGGTGTCATGATAAAATGCCAGCATGAACATGTAACCAAAGCAGAAAAAGAAAAGAAAAAAAAGCCGAAGATAAAACTCCCATTTCTGATGCAATTAAATTTCACACGCGAATATACAACTTAGCAGAAAATTACAAGAGACAAAAAAACTGCATTAAAATTAAAGGAGAGTACAGAAAAAAAAAACACAAAATATTTCATGAACTTATACTGTTGAATACTGTACATTTTGAAGGCAGACAAGCAAAAAAGAAGGAATTGCTTTTAAATTAATCAATCCATTCAAGACATGAGCATGAAAAACATTTTTTTTTAACAAAAGGAAAATTTAGAACCATCTCCAGACATTGTCTCTCCCCGACATTTTGTCTACAATATGGCATTATCTTCCTGCCGGCATTTTATCCTGGCCCAACTCATCAGGCATATCATCCATAAAAATTAATTTCTTGTCAAAAAATTGAAAGGTTGTTTCAATGGCCAGTCATTTACTCTGGTAGCATACGTTATGAAAAATAATATAAAATTCCAAGGTTTTCCGTTTTTAGTTCGCAATTTTAACGATACCCGGTTTTTTTCGTCAAAGAAATAGTTTTTCAAATTTCAGTGAAGCTTTATTTGTAAGAAATTCGAAACGTCTGATTACATTTTGATAGCAGCAAGTAAAAAAATACAAGATCTTTAATTGATGAACACTCGAAAGAAATTCCAAGCCTTTTATTAGCACAATTTTAATTATGAATACGCGGGAAAAGATCAACAAGTTCCGTGTCGTCGCGTTTCTAATGGGGTTTTTTCAAAGTTAATTCCCAGGAAACAAGCCCTTTAAATATTGATGGAACTCATTGTCAAAAAAATTCCGTCGTTTTCGAGAAGAAAAATAGATCGAAACTTGTTCGAATTCTCGCGTTTATACATGGACCATCAGAATTAAATCTTTCCACCAGATCACTCGGTTTTTCACCACCTAATTGGGGCTTGGTCTTTCAAAAAAAATGGGCCATTGATCCGGAAGAAATGGATTCCGGGATCCACTTGAGTCACTTCCTGGTCAACAAACAATGAACTCGGCACCGAAAAAAAAATGAAATAAGCGACGCGAAATCTATTCGGAGACACGACGGAAAAGTTCGACACCGAACAGCAGTGACGCAGAATGGAAAACTTCTCTTATCTTCCATTATATTCTTGTCATAGAAATTCCTGGAGGTGTTAAAAATTGAAGGAACTCGCGATAAATTTTTACGACCTCGGCGTGACGCGGAATTCGATCAATCATCAATTCCCATGGCTTCACGATGAGGTGAAACACCTGTCATTTATTACGATCTTTGATGAAGGAAAAATCGCTTGACGGTGGAGAAATTCTCGGAATCCTTGATCTGACTGAAAATCATCTCTGCATTCTTCTCATATTCTGGACATTTAGATTGAATATTATGTGGAATATTTTGTTTTCAGATTTACAAATAAGTTCTTTCAATGGTATCCCAAATTTCGAAAAAGAAAGCAGTGAAATCGCATTACAACGAACTCAGGGACCGCAGGAAAAATTCATTCCATAGAATGACATTCTTAGATTTTTGAGCATGTACGACTGAAATTTTATTGAGAACAGGAAAAAATCTCATACTTCTACAATGAATATGATAATAATTACAGTACTGTCATCTACAATTTTTTAAATTAACTATAAGAAAGTAAACTCAAATTGTAAAGTGCAATTCTCTTATTTAGAAATTCAATTTCTTGAATTTTGGTGAAAACATTAGAAACATAAAACAGTAGAGCTTCATTCTCACTGTCGCAATGCCACATTTTCTGATAGAAATAAAAATTTACATTTTTGAAGGCTTTTCACTCATGAACAATTTGACGACATTTTTCAAAATAGTCCCTAACGAGAATATGACCGCTGGAACCAAAAAAATAGAGCGAGATTTGTTGCAAGGAATTTTTTATTCAAAAAATTCAGAATTCAAAATGCTTTTAAGAATACGAAGATTGTGATAAAACATGAGAACAAATTTTGCAAGAAGATAATGAAGATTGATGTCAAACTCCATCATTAGTTTGAGGCACGTCATTTAAAAATATGAGGCTGCGTCGTCAGGCCATAAAATTGGTGCGACACCTGCCCGGCATTTCAAGAACCGAATTTCGGGCGATAAAATCAACCAAATCGTTTCCACTTTTAAAAAATAGCAAACAAATTGGCAAACCTTTTGTGGCATGTGTCCCCACGTCGCCTCCAGATTCTCCAGGTTCTTTCACTGGCAAAACCTTGGATTGCTCACAGAAAATAGCCAGTGTTTAGTATCATCAGCGATTGGTTAGTTATCCTTGATTGTCGCAGAAAAAAAAATTATTCCAACGATGATTCAACCTTGTATCACTCACACGTTTCACGTATCGAAAACCTTTTTTTTAAGGGATGCGACACAAATTCCGAGAAAATACGAAGCATCCATCACTTAAAACCAATATTTTTTTCTTCGACACTAAACTCGGTTTCTGGATCACGACGACCGAAAATGTGTGACATTTCTGCGCAGGTGCGAGGAGAATATATGCCTTCCGCTGAATTCCGTTCCTAGTAGATTCATTCGTATTAAATTTTGTTCAGCTAGAACTTTTGTAGTCCTAAACGGTCAGATATTTCCCGAAGTCTGTTCAACACTGATGCTCGGGTCTGTTGCAACGAGCAGATAAATACGTGTGACGCTGACGACCGGGGATTTCGCGAAGCAAAAAAATAATGATCCTGCTTCGACGCATCAATAAAAGATTGTATTCAGTGAGTGAGGTGAAATAAAAATCTAAAATACTTCATAGACTTCCAGAAAATAGACACATCACACACTGAAGAAAAAAAGTCAGTGAACTTATGAATTTACGTCGTTCGTCACTGAAGTTAAGGAATATTGTAAATATCGCTGAGTTTCAACAGTTCTTCTGCTGCTCCAGACATTTCTCTGAATTGCAACATGTCACCCGAGTTCAGTGCTGAATCGATTCATTTCAAAATATTTATCGAAGCGGAGGAAAACATCATCAATGCGTGGACACGGTTGAATTTTAGGGTCACGGTTTTTTTAAACAAATTGAAAGAAAAATCAGGCAGAACGCAATGTACAGATGAAAAAATACACGCTGATCCTTCTTCAAAATTCAATAGAATACGGAAAATCTTGTTCGTCATTTAATTCCAGCAAGTTCTATGTGCCATTTACCGTTGAAGCTGGAAAATCGAAATATGATTCTGGAAAGTCAGGATCTCAGCATCTAGAATTTTTTTTTGCTTTCAACATTTTGCAATTGTTTCTCATCAACCCTTTTTCGAATGACTCTGTTTCTATGGCGACTGCAAGACTATACATCTGCTGAGAAAAAGAAGGAAAATTCCGAGTATCACAATATGAATGGATCAATATTTACGTCCATGCACGGAAGAAGACTAGAAGGTTCCCACGAAAAACGTGGCTCATCAGCGTTTCCTTCCCCACTTTTTTCCATCATAGCCGGAAAAAGATTAGAACAACAGAGATTCACGCCGTTGTTTTGCCCTTCTTCCGGTTAAGAAGACTAGAAGGTTCCCACGAAAAACGTGGCTCATCAGCGTTTCCTTCCCCACTTTTTTCCATCATAGCCGGAAAAAGATTAGAACAACAGAGATTCACGCCGTTGTTTTGCCCTTCTTCCGGTTGATTACCCAAAAAAGGATATCATAGCATTTGAAAGAATTGATTACAAATACTAGCTTTTTTTTTAATGTGTTCCCTGGTGTACGCAGAACACAGACGTGATTCAACGAAGGAAATTCAAGAGTGTTCACCACAATTCCAATAAGGTTTCCTAAACGTGGAAAATTTCGTTTTATGTAAGATATTTTAATTGCATTGAAGTACAGTACACGATAAATCACTAACCCATTTCTTGACCAAGTGGGAAGATGTCACTGGCAGTCGAAATTGCATTATAATCAAAGTTACATTTTATTTCGGGCTTCTTGCCGTTTGCGGATGAGTTTTAACATTTTATCGTACGTGATTTGGCTTCAGGTTGAAAAAAAACTTTGAACATGATTCTGAATCAATTTTGAAAATTTTTGAGAATGCTTAAACCAGCCGAACGGAAAACGAAAGAATTTATTTCCTTGAATCTTCTTTTTTACGAATAACTTCTTCCGTTTTGTTGGTTGACCAAGATTTAAAAAAATATGGCAGCTGCTGCTTGAATAACAAGAGTTCGGGATTATTAAAAACTTACTTGCGTACAGTAAAGCTAACGCATCAGCGATACTTTTGCATACTACTTCAATTTCAAAAATGTTGCGTCGAATTGAAAACACTTTCATTCTTTACACTTGGACATCGTCGAAGGTATTCGAAAAATAGTTCACGAGTTTGCGCACATTCCTAAAGCAGTTTTGAGTTGTTGTTTTTTTTTTTTTTACACATCAATCCACTTCAAAAATATGAGTACCCCCTATTCATACATTTCAATCCATATAATTGGTGCATGAGGTTAGAGTTTGCGCACATTCCTAAAGCAGTTTTGAGTTGTTGTTTTTTTTTTTTTTACACATCAATCCACTTCAAAAATATGAGTACCCCCTATTCATACATTTCAATCCATATAATTGGTGCATGAGGTTTGTCCCAGTTCGACGCAGCCTCTGTTTTTTAGAGTGGGAGTCCTTAAAAAAAAAAAAAATCTTGAATAAGTCCAGGGTGTTTTGAGATTCTGGAAATTTCTTAAGATTTTTAAATGATTTTTTACATTTAATGCATGATAATGTGCGAAAGCTTTCCAGTTTCTTTACAGTCTGATTTCTCCAGCACCCATGTCACGAATAAGATATGAAAACTTTTCAGGCCACCTGAAACATTTAACCCTTATGGATTAAAAAATTGCAAAAGCAGTTCAATTTGCTTCAGCTGGCCTTAGAGATTTTTAGCACCTCTTGACATCATGGGTGGAGAACTCTGGCTGTACCTGGAAAGTTTTTTTTTTATCATCATGTCAGCATAAATTGAAACATTAATTTAAAAATTTGAAAAAAGTCCAGAACTTTCAAACATCATGGATTATGCCACGATTTTTTTAATCCAGATGCCACTCCGATTTATTTTGTTCTTGTTTTTCCTGAGAAACAGGCCAGCTGAAACATTTAACCCTTATTGATTAAAAAATAGCAAAATCATTTCAATTTTTTTCAGCTGGCCTTACTGCAGATTTTTAGCACTCCGTGATGGGTGGAGAACTCTGGCTGTAACTGGAAAGTTTTTTTCATCATCATGTCAAAACTGAAATAAGTATTACAGTACTTTCAAACTTAGAAAAAAATTTAAAAATTCACGTACCACTAATAAAAATATCAGGCCGCGCACAATTGGTACAACCCCCGAATTTTTTTTGTTTTGTTCGCTTTTCCTCATTTAAAGAACACAGTATAGCTAGGTGTTCGTCTATATAAGAGGCACGTATCAGTGCTCAGCACTGATGGTGAGCAAGCAGCACAGATGACTCTTTGTCAAATTCTAGATCCCCGTCGAATAACGTAGTACGTGACACAGGGGGAGAGCGGGAGTATTTGAAAGGCGGTCGTACCGCGCAAGGTGAGCTGCTCAATTATCCAAGAGTGTGGCTCCTCGATAAAAAATTATTGTAAAGATGAGAGCTCACCTTTGATCAGCTCTTGTGAAGTGGGGGGGAGTTATTTGAGGATTACAATAGGATATCAACAAAACAAAGTCATTATTTTATAAATCATTTATTTTAAGATCCCTGTTTAATAAATACAGTAGTGGCCAGTGGGTTCCTGCTTTAATCCTCAGATGGCAGTGGGTCAGTTTCAATCTTGTGGCAATAAGTCAAACATTTTCTGCAGACAGGCACATTTTGGTTTGACCAAAGGTCATGGAAATGCCTTTGGGTATCCAGGAAGTATTAATCCTATTGTTTTGAGAATTTTCCAAATTCAAGCCTTAGCTAGGATTGCAGGAAAAAATCCACCCAGTGAAGATTTTTCTTCAGCCAAACATTTTCTTGAACGAAATAAAAAAATAGTTGACTTTTCCAAAATTATAGTCCTTTGTTCAAAATGTCGGTTTTTTTCAGGGATCATGGGCACATTATTGTATTAAAGTATGCCAGATTTGCGGCAGAATGGGTTAAGTCCGTTAAGAAGTCCTGCGCAGCATCTAAATTCTAAAGCATTATGCACTGCAATTTTTCTTCAATGGGAAGAAAGCAACTCCTTTAATGAAATAGGTTAACATGACAATTTTTTTTGTAAAAAAGCTTATGCTACGACAAGTTTTCAGTTAAACTTGAAACTGCAGAAAATGTTTGCAAAAATATAAATACTTTTCAAAAATTGTCATATTGAGTGTTTCAAACAAATTCGATAATTTCCGAATGCAAATCAAGAGACATCTTGTTCAAAATGACAAAATGATGCATAACAAAATGCATCCAAAATATTTTGTTTTTTATGCGGCGGCTCTCTTCCAGTAATACATCATTTTTATATAAAATTGTAACATATTTTTTCAATTTTGGATGCTACTGCATATCTCAAAAATTTGCTCACATAATGCTGAATAAAAGTCACGACCGTCAACTAAATGAATATGTCAGCAATACCGTATTTTTTTCCTGGGAAAGCAGGGATTATTGTTAGAATGTGTTTTACGAGTAAGTGGATCAACACATTTTAATGCACTGGAAAAGATTAGCGGTTGCTGACTTAATTTATACGTAAAATGGAATTTATCAAATAACATAAACCTTTTAACGACTTTCGACAGACGCTTGAAAGCGCTAAATAAGACCGTGCTTTACTAATGTCTGTTAGCTATTTAGGATATATGTGTCCTACACTTACGTAAACATCAATAGCAATTTGATGAGGTTGTCCAGCATTCTATTCGACAGCTAAAATGCGGGGAATGGAAATGATTCCCATGTTTGCGAAAAAGGGTCATCAAACCTCATTCATCTCTGAAGTATAGTGACCTTCTTCCATCAGTCGAATGAGGCATTGAATCCATTTTTTTATACTGTAAATATATTTGATTATAACCAACAAAATCGCATGCTCAGCATCCATTTCAAGGAGTAAAATCATTTGAACATTCCGAACAGCTAATCCATAAATGTCATTGCAAATATTACAGGGTGGGCGAGAAGAAGTAGGTCACTCATCATCTGAATGATCAATAATAAAAATTAATTTAGAATTCACGATACGGGAAGTTTTTAGTTAGGTTTTAATTTTTAGTAGGTTAATGAAGACGTGTAAGTACCATAACGCAAATATCGGCGTTATTTGGTAGTAGTAGTAACATTTTTGAATTCCTTGAAAAGAAAAAAAAAAACTTGCCCCAATTTCCCTCGAATATTGCTTGCGAATCGTGACACCTTCTGAATTTTTATCTGCTTTTAGTGAAATTTCAGCGCAAAAAAAAAAAACTGCGTATGATGGAGAGGCAAATATTAACGAACAAGGTGAAATAAAATAAGTTAATTTAACAGGTTCACGATTTTCCCCGTGAAAACTCGTTATGAGAGCTCCTTAAAAAAAGGAATTGAATTTTTGAAAATCCCTGATGCATTTCCAAGATGTCAAGCGTAATATTTTTCAATACATCCATGCAGAAAACTGCTCAATCTTTTTTTGTCGGTAATTTAGCATATTCTCCGCAATCTCCGGAGACCTCCAGCGCGACTCGTGAAGTTAATGAACAGCCCCAAGCAAAAAGTCTTTAAATTTTCCGGAAGACACCCTCAAGCACCGGAAGTTCGCGTGACGAAGGTCGATCGAGACTGGGGGTAAAAAATAAAAAAAATATCACGCACGACAAGAAGGTGAAAATCATTGGACCTCTTTCATCATAGTATATTTGGCCGCTGGTTATTCCTTGGAAGCATATCTTTCGGGGAAACCTCTTCCAGGAATTAAATCGTGCGAATTGTCGCGGAATATTTTGGTGGAAAGTTTTAATTTTATAACCCCCCAAGAAAATGACAGGCTGTCGTGTTCAAATTCTCGTATGCGCGAATTATTCTCTCGAGTAGGTATTTTATTTTTTTTAGAGAATTTTCGGACAAAACTCACCAGGAAATCGTGCAAACTGTTCCATCAGATTACCTCGCTTATTGTAGATATATATTATCTGCAGCCTTTTCATTTGAAAGTTAGAATTACATATTGATTTTTTCTTAACGAAAACAGCTAGGACCTTGTTTCAAACTTGATAACGTCGTGAAGGAAACCACAAACTGTCGTGTTTTGGTTCTGAATATGAACTACTTTTCTGTAAATAACTATCAAGTGTATCATCTTTTATGGACTGCTTGGATGTGTCTATGATGGATGTGTGGAAGGGGGTTCAAAAATGTTGAAAACCTTGTGAAAGCTGAAAAGCATTAAATAAATTTTTTACCTTGCTCAATTGAAGAATCATTTGTTTAGGTTCACACAGATTCCTTGACACAATTATTCTACCACATTTTATTTTGACATTAGATANTTACGTAAACATCAATAGCAATTTGATGAGGTTGTCCAGCATTCTATTCGACAGCTAAAATGCGGGGAATGGAAATGATTCCCATGTTTGCGAAAAAGGGTCATCAAACCTCATTCATCTCTGAAGTATAGTGACCTTCTTCCATCAGTCGAATGAGGCATTGAATCCATTTTTTTATACTGTAAATATATTTGATTATAACCAACAAAATCGCATGCTCAGCATCCATTTCAAGGAGTAAAATCATTTGAACATTCCGAACAGCTAATCCATAAATGTCACTGCAAATATTACAGGGTGGGCGAGAAGAAGTAGGTCACTCATCATCTGAATGATCAATAATAAAAAAAATTAAATCTTAAGTGCTATGCCCTTCAAAAATCAATCCAAAATTAAAAATCATCCAATTACTTCTGCACATTCATGGTATTGCGTTTATAGCCGCAATAAACCATCATCATCATTGTAAAAACTTACCCTTGAAAAGAAAAAAAAAAACTTGCCCCAATTTCCCTCGAATATTGATTGCGAATCGTGACGCCTTCTGAATTTTTATCTGCTTTTAGTGACATTTCAGCGCAAAAAAAAAACTGCGTATGATGGAGAGGCAAATATTAACGAACAAGGTGAAATAAAATAAGTTAATTTAACAGGTTCACGATTTTCCCCGTGAAAACTCGTTATGAGAGCTCCTTAAAAAAAAAGGAATTGAATTGTTGAAAATCCCTGATGCATTTCCAAGATGTCAAGCGTGATATTTTTCAATACATCCATGCAGAAAACTGCTCAATCTTTTTTTTCATTGGTAATTTAGCATATTCTCCGGAGACCTCCAGCGCGACTCGTGAAGTTAATGAACAGCCCCAAGCAAAAAGTCTTAAAATTTTCCGGAAGACACCCTCAAGCACCGGAAGTTTGCGTGACGAAGGTCGATCGAGACTGGGGGTAAAAAATAAAAAAAATAAAAAAAATATCACGCACGATAATAAGGTGAAAATCATTGAACCTCTTTCATCATAGTATATTTGGCCACTGGTTATTCCTTGGAAGCATATCTTTCGGGGAAACCTTTTCCAGGAAATCGTGCGAATTGTCGCGGAATATTTTGGTGGAAAGTTTTAATTTTATAACCTCCCAAGAAAATGACAGGCTGTCGTGTTCAAATTCTCGTATGCGCGAATTATTCTCTCGAGTAGGTTTTTTTTTTTTTAGAGAATTTTCGGACAAAACTTACCAGGAAATCGTGCAAACTGTTCCAGATTACCTCGTTCGTCATAGATATAAATTATCTGCAGCCTTTTCATTTGAAAGTTGGAATTACAATATTGATTTTTTTTTCAACGAAAACAGCTAGGACCTTGTTTCAAACTTGATAACGTCGTGAAGGAAACCACAAACTGTCGTGTTTTGGTTCTGAATATGAACTACTTTTTTCTCCACTTCCTCAAGCCTTATGGACTAATGTTTTTCATTGCATTTGTGAAAAGGGAACTCGTTTTTTTTTGTGGACGCAGCAGCAGGTCCAACAAAAGAATACGACCTTCAGAGCGAATTCTTGTTTCTTTTTTTTTTTATTACGTTCTTCTTTTTTTTCTTCTTCAATTGTATCACACTTGGAACCATTGAAATCGAGACCTTCCCTCTTTATTCCTTTTTTTTTCCAACGAAGGTAAATGTCGATTTCGTCGTTGGGGATGAATTTTTCAGTGCGAAGATGAGATAGTGGACGTCGGTCGTCGGTTTGCGGGCAGCACGCAAACCTTCTAGCACAAGGCGGGGTTCCTGCAGAATAAATTCAGCACGGATTCCTCACTGCAATTTCTGCAGGTGGAGTGTTCCGATTTTTCGCGAAAATGGCGCTAACAGCTTCAGACTGAACCTGATGGGAATGTGTATATTCCTGGTTTAAAAACGTTTTCATTGCTACCTCGGATAATGAACTACAGCCTCTGCTAATTTTTTTTTTTTACTACAATTCAAAGTTGGTCGAAATATTCGATTATAATTGAAGCAGATGAGCTGCTATTTGCATTTTGAATTTTAAAAACGTTTTACAGTATTCCTTATTCCCGGAATTTTAAAAATTACGGCTATTTTTTCCTTTAAAAATAAGTAGCACACTGTGTCAGCTGCTTGCATGCAAAAATGTGCGCTCTTCAGTTTGTTCCGAGTATTTACTGCCTGATGAACCTCTCGACTGTATTTCCCACCGAATAGGCACAAAATGACCTTCTCAGAAGTCTAGAACTTGTTTTAAAAATGAAAGACATCTCACGTGAAGTATAAGTGCCATGAACAAATGATTCACCCTTCTTATTCAATTCAGTTGCAGGATTCGTGGAAAGAAAGGTGATGATTGGGACTCTGTAAACCCCGCAGTCATCTTACGTCGTCCTATTGATGGTTTTTTTTTCGTTTCCAAGAAAGAATACTGATGGAAAAGTTCATGAACCTGCTCAAATGCCGATAAATAACTGTCTTGGTTTGAACTTCTAGGAAATGGAGGAGCCCATTTATGGAAAGTAATCGGAGCGAGCTCATTACATTGCGTCAACTGTTGTTGGGATTTTTTTAATGACTCATATTTTTAATATTCCGCAGTAAGTTTAAATAATGACGTTACTTGGATTTAAACAAACCGGGGAAAATCAGGATCGAATCTGGATGAAGATTTTCAGAATTTATATTCTTGCGAGCGAAATTTATCCCACTTTCTTTTTTCTACCGAGAAATTTTCAATCACAAGTAAATAATCGAGAAATTTTTGAATTCTACATCATAAAAACTGCCTACTTTGTTCAAAAAGTTGATTTTCATGCGATAAATATATTTTTCGTGTGTCTGTAATAGCAAAACTTTATTCATAAAAGTAGATATCACAGGCAGCAATGACAGAATTTCCATTCAAAACCTACACATTCACTCAACCCAATTCAATCTATACTTATTCTAAGCTTCCAGTTTTAATTTTCTCAAATTTGACAAGTATTTGGATTCATTTGGGCATACGTTTCATTTGGAATCTGAAACCTCCCGAAAAATATTTTGGCTTATCATCATTAGTGAATTCTAAATTTCTAAGGCATCTGAAAAAAAACAAGTGTGAAGTGTGTTCCGAAAGCGCATGTGAACGACATCTACGGACGATTCTATGAACTTGGGATGTCGATATAAACAGGAAAATGTATTCCTGGTAACAATGAGATAAAATTGTTTTCGCCGGAGATCTGTTGAGGAAAGTACAATATCACTGAAGTTTCTCGCCTCCGATAAAAATACCAAAAATAATTGAAGCTATGATACAGGAATTTTGCAGTTACTGTATATATGGAAAAGTGCGACGACCCGAAGTTCGTTATCTCACGTCAACTCAGACAAATTCACGAACCGAGAAAATAAGATTCTCCCGCGACGCCATTAAATCGAAAAACCTTGATACATCCCCTTCTCGAGACTTCACGCTGCAAAAACTAGGTCGGACTCATTCAAGAACGAAATGATCCGTGAAATGTTTCTGTCTCTGCTGTATACATTCTTGCAAAAATAAATAAATATCGGGAAAAAGGGGGGGGGGGGTGTCAGTGCGAAAACACTCACCTCGACACAATCAGGATCCATTTGCACGCCGACTACATCTCCAATAACTTGTCCCCGATAACGCACCTCTTTTTTCTTCATCAAACCACGTGCACAGCAGAAGAACGCGTTTCGACTCGATCGTGCCAATTTGTCATGGCTTCTTACTCACATTCCGCGTGATGAAGCACTCACTATATATAAGAGAGGCAACAAAAAAAAAGTATTTAAATTTTCGGAAAACAAAATTTAGAAGAGATTTGATTGATTCAATTTTCTTTTTCAGCAGGACCCGAAGTAGTCATCGGGAAAATCACGACCTGACACACGGATTTGCCCCCTACACAAGGTCGTTCGAACTGGAGGGAAAAAATCAGGAACTACGAAGATCAGCGGCTGAGGGAACGAACCAACGACCGTTGCTCGATCGCTTATCTTCCAGTCACAGGGATCAGACTTCACGCTGCAAAAACTAGGTCGGACTCATTCAAGAACGAAATGATCCGTGAAATGTTTCTGTCTCTGCTGTATACATTCTTGCAAAAATAAATAAATATCGGGAAAAGGGGGGGGGGGGGGGGTCAGTGCGAAAACACTCACCTCGACACAATCAGGATCCATTTGCACGCCGACTACATCTCCAATAACTTGTCCCCGATAACGCACCTATTTTTTCTTCATCAAACCACGTGCACAGAAGAAGAACGCGTTTCGACTCGATCGTGCCAATTTGTCATGGCTTCTTACTCACATTCCGCGTGATGAAGCATTCACTATATATAAGAGAGGCAACAAAAAAAAAGGCATTTAAATTTTCGGAAAACGAAATTTAGAAGGGATTTGATTGATTTAATTTTGTTTTGCAGCAGGACCCGAAGTCATCAGGAAAATCACGACCAGACTCACGGATTTGCCCCCTACACAAGGTCGTTCGAACTGGAGGGAAAAAATCAGGAACTACGAAGATCAGCGGCTGAGGGAACGAACCAACGACCGTTGCTCGATCGCTTATCTTCCAGTCACAGGGATCTTTACAAATTTCCTGCACTTTCAAATCTATTTGTTTTTTCCCCAGCTTCCCACACACACTTTGAAAAGGAAATATTTTGAAAAACTGGTGGGACAAGAGCAGCTTTTCTGCTTCAAAGTGCATGCACTTTTTTAAGCCAGGGTTTTATTTTACAATCATAAATTTTGTCCTGCTTGTTGTTGAAGTGTGTCTGGAATTATATTTTGCATGGATTAATTATTGAAACTCAAGCAGAAATAGCACAACCGCATCCTGGAGTATCTAATGTCAAAATAAAATGTGGTAGAATAATTGTGTCAAGGAATCTGTGTGAACCTAAACAAATGATTCTTCAATTGAGCAAGGTAAAAAATTTATTTAATGCTTTTCAGCTTTCACAAGGTTTTCAACATTTTTGAACCCCCTTCCACACATCCATCATAGACACATCCAAGCAGTCCATAAAAGATGATACACTTGATAGTTATTTACAGAAAATAATTTACAGTAAATGAGAATGCATGAAAATCACCATCATATTTTTAATAATGGCAAACAGCACAGCAAAGGAAAATTAGTCAACATTAATTACCATATTCACTTGAGCACCACGCACCCTCAAGTAAGGCCCGCACAGGGGTTTTTCAGTTGGAAATTTTGCTAAAATCTTTTCCCTGAGTAAGATGCGCACGCCAATGTCTAGTGCATCTAAAACCACAAAATTTCGAAAATAAAAACAAAAAATGTGACTTTATTTGCATGAATTGAACAAGAATCTGATCATTTTTCAACTTTTTCAGCACAAAAATGTTTTCTTGTAACATTTGTTCAAAATTTTTCCTATTATAATTAAGTATAATGCACACATAACTTCCTAAAACTTTGTGAAATATTTGTACCCACTTATGACACACACCCCTTTTTTCCTTTTGAAATTTGAGAAAAAAGTGCGCATGGTACTAGAGTAAATACTGTAAAACCAAAAATGTTAAGCCTGTACCCAGGTATTTGTTTAACCCTTGGATGGCAGTGCATTGATTTGCATTCCATCAAGGTAGAGGTGGGATTTTTTGTAGGCTGGCACATTTTACTTTGATCAAAGATCCATGAAAAGCATTCATGACTAAGTAGCTAAAGTCCAAAAAAATGCAAGAAAATTAAAAAATGGTATCATTGAAATCGCTCAATGAGAAACCTAAGGCAGTAATGCTGCAGAAATTGCACCCAGAAGTGAATTATTTTTTAGCAACATTTTTCAAAGCACAGATAAAAATGTATATTCCGACTTTTTCTGCACTTTGGTCTCATAATTGGACTACGTTTTTTTAATGTCAATTGCTTCATGATGGCACCAAATTGTGCAAATATTTCCCGGCTGTTCAAAGAAAGTGTTTACCTGAGTGAGCAATTTGAAAAAAATCTTTGAGAAGAAATCATATAAAACCGACATTTAATACTGAAGCTGTAAGATTTTATCTTGGTACTCTGAAATAATTCTTCATGATAAAAATGTCTTCCGAGACGCCTGCTTCAATAAAAAATTTTGTACCTAACTTGATCCAACATAAATTTGTACCAGATGAGATGGCAGTGGAATCAGAGTACATGACAGCTATTTTGAAGCAAGACCAGGAGAAAAACTTCATGATGAACCCTGGCCTAGAAGAAAGAAACCCCCTACAAAGAATAACACGATAGCTGCATACGGGACTTCAAGAATACCAGGTCAAATCATTTTTGAACTCGCAAATACACATAAGCTAGATCATTCATTTTCTTTTGCTTCTCATCAGCGCGCAAAAATGCTTGAGATCAGCTGGAGCAAAACGCTGAGAGATACACGAGGAATTTATCGCTGGCCTTATTCAATGATTTTATTTCAATATCTTTTTTTGCCCGCATCACGAACACATGAAAAAAAATTAAAAATGGACTCGATATTATATATAGACTTGAGTGAACTTGTTGATGGTGCCTCAAAGTCGTGCCCTTCGGGGCTGAGGGAAGCAGTTCCTTTTCCCACCCTATTTCTTCTCGCTTGTTTTCCAGCAGCACCAGTTGGATATAGAGAGGAGAAAGAAAAGAAGAAAAAGAAAAACATCATATACTATAGCGGTCGTTTCCTTTAGACACGCGGGTGGAAAATAACGCGACCCGACACGCGTGTGTGACCTCGTCTAGGAGTGGTGAGGAAAAAGCTACTTGTGGTCTGGGTGCAACCCGAGTTTTGACTCGAGATAGTTATTTGCAACCACGTGCGGACTAAGAATCCTCCCAATTCCTTTCTGCGCGCGTGCGACCAACCAGGGAGCACATTTTTACCATGCTGTATACTTGGCAAATGGGGGATGAATCAAGTATATAAGGCTGCAATATGCAAAGAGACTCTCTCTTCCAAAAAAAAAAAAAATCAAGAAACCAGATAAAAAATTTGATAGCCCTTCCTTGGCAAAGTCAGGATATTTGTGAAAGATTTTTATGCCGTAGAGCAGTTTTCCCCAATTTTTTTAGGCCCGCAGAATATCCCACATAGTTAATAAAATATAATAATATTCTAAAATACGGAACACATTTTTCTGCCAGAATCACCGGCAAGAGATTTTTTTCCAATTTTCTTCTAGTGAAACTTTCAATGATACATATACAGTGGCCCCCGCCTAACAGACCTCCCGTGTAAGGGATTTTTGCTGAACAAACCAGCTCTGCAAGCAGTTTTTTTTCCCGCCCAACAGACAAAATCCACCAAACAGACTTCTTTTGGTTTAAAATTAGTGTTGAAAATTGAAATTTTCAGTTTTAATGTACTTGAATTTGTGTAAAGGACTTTTTGTCGAACAGACTCATCCCTTGCACGAATCAAGTCCGTTAGACAGGGGTTGACTGTATATACACGCGCTGCTATGCGATAAGAAAACCTCAAGAACCACAATTCAAGAGAAATGATTTTCAATGTCACGTCGACCGCTTGAATTCACATACAGGGAAAGCATATTCTTATCACTGAAAATGAGAATGAAAATGCACCATTATGCAGCACTCACTCACACGATTTTCTTTTCAACTCACTTATTCAAAGGTCATCTGGATTATTAATAATCAATTCGTTCTTTATTAAGCTGAAACTCATTTGACACTTGAAACAAAAAGGCAGGTGGAAACCATTACTTTAAATGCCACACCGACGAGTGGATGAAAGCATGAGCTTCGATCGAATGACGACTAAATTTCTGCTCCCAAGCCAAAGGGGTCAAAACTACATCTCGGGGGAAATGAAATCAAGGTCGTCACCTACATTCAAAGTGACGCAGTTTAGTTTTCTCTTTTTTGCATCTTTTTATAAACTGCACTGATTGGCAAGTGTCCCAAAGATGCCGACAGTGTCTCACATATGCTAGAAAAGTCTGGCATATATATACCGATATGTTTTCTCTCCATAGAAACATGACTGCGGAAAGAGACCCAGAACTGTCAAAACTTCACGAAAGTCTTTCCTGTCGGCGAAAACATCACTGAATAAAATGTTTCCAGTCCAATTTTTTTTCTGTAGAACTGTAGAATGACATTCGCACTGTGCACTGCATCGAGTATTTTTGCAGAAATCCCTTTCGGGCAAATATTTGAGACGCATAAATGTGAAGTTTCTTCGGTATTTGCGCAGGGAAGAAAGTTTTATCTGCTTCTTCGAGTCGTCGGAAAAGTGTATTTAGACAAAACGACGGCTTCGTGTCTGGGAAGAGAGGTCAACTGACTCCTTTCTACCACCTTTCCTATTGTGACGCCAATTTCTCTTGAGATTGCGTGCACGAGAAGCTCAATAAACTTTCACCCTTTCACTAGCTTGGGACGATTACCAAGTTAATTGCTGTATGCTAATGACATTTTCTGGAGAATCATGGCGCATATAATTCTTTGCTGGATCATAAAATTACGCATTGAAAAATATAACGCCGCGTCCGTATGTTTTAATTTAGTACCAAATACGCTGTGACATCTTCTTACGTCGTGAAAACGTATGCCCGAAACGTTCGAGCAGTGGCTAGATGTCGCACTAAATTTCGGGTGCACAGTAAATTTCAAGCTTTGGTTGATGATTACTTGATTAGATAATAAGCATCATGGCGTGAAAAAAGCTGCTACAGTTGAACTTCTTCAAGTCAAATTTCTAGGAAAAAATTGATTTAAGGAGGTTTCGATTTTTGAACGCT